TTATCCGTCCACATGTGGGTGTAAGATAAACTAATGTGTTGGCCAAGAGGCTGCAGCGGCCTGTTTGTGCCTCTTCCTGTTCATTACAAGTGAGATTTCCTCTTCTAGTTCCCCATCCCTGCTGCTGCTCTGTCCCACTTACAAACTCCTGCAAGACTCCTGTCAGCAGTCTGGCTCAGTCCACGCCGGAGAGAAGGATACCTCCACCTGTCTGCTCAGCGTTAGTCATCACCAGATCGAGAGAAACTGTTTGATTTAAAAAAAGTCGATGTGTGCGCTCCACGATGAAGTGAGCTCCTCTCTGGGGGGCACAGAGGAGCAGATCTGACAAAAACACCTATGACAGCAAAACAATTCTCCTACTGGACCTCTTGTGTCCTCCTCGATCATGTAAACGCCGTCACAAAAACAAATACTGTCGCTCAACAGTGAGCCGAGCAAACATGACTGCAGAGTCGAGGTTTCTTTTAAGTGCCTACGTTTATACCTCCTTCCTTTGTATCATAAACGTGACACGCTGCCATCGCAGGAGGAGAAAAGGTGCAATAAACATAAATATCTTAAAGAAAAGGATCGCCAGCCTTGGCTCTGAACCGAGGAAGAGGAAAAGAGAAAGTTTCAAGTGTGTGAAGTCTTGCAAGGAGAAAACCCGACAGCAGGTGAGGGTCAGAGTGGGGTTGAGGTAGAAGAGGGGGAGCAGAGATGATGCTCTTGGGAACCGGTCTAGAGAGGAATGTGAAGCGTTTTAATGACTCACGGGCACTTTTTAGCACTCAGGACTTCGACAGGTGAGCTGGCTGCACACACGCCAGCAGACAGCTCACAAACAGGAAACCCCGCACGACTCGAGAACATCTCTATTCCTCTCACATCACACATCCAGGGACCGTGGAGAAACGTTCATTATTTTTATTAGAAACATAAGCAAGGACGAGACACACACCGGAAGTAAGAGAAAATAAAACAACTGCAGATGAGGGTGTGTGTGTGTGGGGGGGGGGGGGGGGGGGGTATGGGGAGGGAGAGAGAGGAAGATGAGATGAGGAGGCGGAGAGATGAGAGAGAGGAGGGAGGGAATGATGAAGAGAGGGAGAGCGATGAGGTACACTTGGCTGAAGGACTCCAGTCGAATGAGTAGGGACTTTAAAGAGTTGGTTCGGGGAGAAGATCTGCTTCCGTACAGAAACGATGGACAGATGGAACCAGAAGGAGGACAGGACCTCTGGCTCACACAGACTGACACAACCTGATCTTTAGAAAAACCTGAGACTGAATTTGGTGTTTGGATCGTCTCCAGGAATAAAGAAGTTGGGGGAGTTCACTCACGTAGCTGGACCCCGCTGAAGCCACGATGAATATTTACACGTGCTTGGTGCTCATCACGCTTATTGGCAGAGGTGAGCGACTTTTCCTCCTTTGACGTTTTTGGGACTATAAAAAAATTATAGAAAATAAAGTTTAATCTTTACTGTTTTTCCTGCAGAAACAAACACAGCAAAGTGGAGCTGGTTTAATGTTACTCATCATATGACAGCTTTGTCTCATACTGTGTTCTATGGCATCGTCCTGTTACATCCCATTATCATAATCAATAGTTTCATGTCGTTTTACATCACTTTGTTTTATTATTGCACCATTGTGTCCTATCTATCTATCTATCTATCTATCTATCTATCTATCTATCTATCTATCTATCTATCTATCTATCTATCTCTCTATCTATCTATCTATCCATCTATCCATCTATCTATCTATCTATCTATCTATCTATCTATCTATCTATCCATCTATCCATCTATCCATCTATCTATCTATCTATCTATCTATCATCTATCATCTATCTATCTATCTATCTATCTATCTATCTATCTATCTATCATCTCTCTCTCTCTCTCTCTCTCTCTCTCTCTCTCTCTCTCTCTCTCTCTCTCTATATATATATATATATATATATATATATATATATATATATATATATATATATATATATATAATCTCATTATTACAGAAATTGGTACCCAAATCTTCCTTTACTGACCTTGTTGGAACCCTGGTCAGTAATTGGCTGATTCGTGGCTGAATGCAACAAAGGCAGATCTCCTGTTAGAACTTTTTCACAATTTATTTCTTATAAATTGTTTATGTTTTTACACTAGGACTTTATTTTTAAAAGCAGAAGGAGGACTTTGTTTTTTGAGAAACTAATCTCAGCTCTTCTTCTAATCTAAGTCATCTCTACAGTCCAGTCCCAGGCTCTCCATTCATTAAGGAGGCACGATTTCTGCTTAAGGCTGAATTTACAGCGTGAGTCAGAATCTCTGGCAGAAGAAACAGAAAACACAACCTCGAGGACACAAAAGCGTGTTTTCAGTGTTTTTGTGGTAACTGAATGGGAGCAGAAAGAGCCTCTGTCACTCAAGCTATGCAGCCTTGAAAGCATCTTCATCTGCCTGGTTAAAATATGGAGTTTGAGTTTATTTGCTTGTTGCTGGCCTGAGAGGGTGAGTTTGATCAAAAGAGGGCAGTTTTGGGGTTCCAGTCATTCTGCCTCATCAGAATAACACAAATGAGCCTAGTTCAGTTTCAGATTTAAGGATTTGTTGGTTAGAATATTTATAAAATCAGCTGGTTTTAACTCCATAACTGCAACTCTTAATCATAAGACTTGCCAACAACAAAAATAACCTTATTTATGGTTTCTAAGGGATAATGTGCATTAGGTAAAGTAAAGGATATTGCACATTTTTTCTTAGGCTTGTTAAAACCGTATAATCTGAGATACGTTTCTCTCATTAGAAATGGCACGAGCATTTCAAGGTTGTCCAAAGTGCGGACATGAAAAACAGATTCAGGTGCAGGAAAAAAAGGATGAAGTCACGTGGAAAAAAAAGTGCATCATTTTAATAACATATCGATCTAAATCTTTTAAGAAATGTGGATGCCGGCTTTCAGTCATCTGAAGGACAGTCCATCAGCTTTGATGGAGTGGACAGCAGGTGCAACACCTGGTCCCTCTTTTCACAAAGCAAATGAATGGATCTGATGGTGTTTGTGGGAATTTTACTCTGCAGCTTTTGTTAAGGACGACAAGGCGCTCCCATCTCTAGCTGCTGTGATTCGATTCTACATGACGTCACATAAATGACTTAAAGTGGTCGTGAGCAATTTGGACAAACACAAGAAACGTGCTTGTGGTTAGCGCGGTGATCCGAGACAGATGATAGATTCACTTTTAAGATCCTGGAGGGACCAGTGAGACGTCTGGACTCGAACCCAGCGGATGTCCTGAGCATCAGATTCATCCTTCTGCTTCGCCCCACCCCACCAGTGTGCCTCATCCCACAGATCCTCCCGTGTAACCACACACCACCTGTATACTAGAGGTCACCCTACCTACAGTCTGTATTCTGTGGCATGGCCACATCAGCTAAATTCACAGCAGATGAATGCATTTCTAATAGATGGCTTGTGCATTTGAAATGATGGAACATCAATTAAATGAGGTTCTTGTGAAAATGTGCACACATCGAGCCTCCTTCATTGGTTTTATATGTTTTTGTCTTCTTCGTTGTCAGCATGTTCTCAGCTCGGAGCTCGTGGCCACGCTGAAGAAAGGCTTCTCCAGAACTTGTTTGCAAGTTACAACAAACTCTCCCGGCCTGTGCAAAACACCTCAGACACGGTGCTGGTCCACTTTGGACTGTCCATCGCCCAGCTGATCGACGTGGTGAGTCCCACCTTGCAGCTTTAAGAATATTCACCAAATAAAACCAAGAAATGTCTTCAGTTAGAACCCAAATGCCTTTTCACAGAATTAGTCAGACCCAACACATGTTCTGTCAAATGTTGCACATCTTTGTTTTAAAAATTCACACAAACGACACAACGGTGAGTTTTGGAGGAGCAGATTATTTCACTTTTGCACTAAAAAGAGGTGAGCTGTTTGTGTTTGCTACCAGATTTTATACTAAGGCAAACATTTGTTCATCAACATCGCAGACACACCAGCTCGCCTGACCTTCTCATTTTACTTTTAGAGAGAACACACCGAGCATACATCCATCCATCCGTTTTCTTCCGCTTATCCGGAGTCGGGTCGCGGGGGCAGCAGCCCAAGTCAAGAGGCCCAGACTGCTCCTTCCCCAGCCACTTGGGCCAGCTCCTCCGGGGAAATCCTAAGGCGTTCCCTGGCCAGCCGAGAGACGTGGTCCCTCCAGCGTGTCCTGGGTCTTCCTTTCAGTCTCCTCCTGGTTGGACGTGCCCAGAAAACCTCCTCAGGGAGGCGTCCAGGACGCATCCCAACCACATGCCTGAGCCACTTCTACTGGCTCCTCTTGACGTGGAGGAGCAGCGGGTCTACTCCGAGCCCCTGTCGGATGATGGAGCTTCTCACCCTATCTCTACGGGAGAGCCCAGCCACCCTGTGGAGAGAACTCATTTTGTCCGCTTGTATCCGTGATCTCGTTCTTTCAGTCACTACCCAAAGCTCATGACCATAGGTGAGGGTAGGAACGTAGATCGACCGGTAATTAAAGAGTTCTTCTTCTGGCTCAGCTCTTTTCACCATGACAGATGGGTACAACCAACGCCCGCATCACTGCAGACGCAGCACCAATCCGCCTATCAATCTGCCGCTCCTTCTTTCTGTGGGGCGACGGTGGCACAGGAGTTAAGTGCTCGCCCCGTAATCGGAAGGTTGCTGGTTCGAGTCCCGCTCAGTCTGTCGCTGTCGTTGGGCAAGACACTTAACCCACGTTGCCTGCTGGTGGTGGTCGGAGGGACCGGTGGCGCCTGTGCTCGGCAGCCTCGCCTCTGTCAGTGCGCCCCAGGGCAGCTGTGGCTACATTGTAGCTCATCCCCACCAGTGTGTGAATGGGTGTGTGAATGGGTGAATGACTGATTGTGTTGTAAAGCGCCTTGGGGGGCTCCAGGACTCTAGAAGGCGCTATATCAAATACAGGCCATTCTTTCCTTCACTCGTGAACAAGACCCCGAGATACTTAAACTCCTCCACTTGAGGCAGGACCTCGTCCCTGACCCTGAGAAGGCATTCTACCCTTTTCCAACTTAAGACCATGGTTGCACCTAGAAATCCTGATCCACCTAGAAAATGATGATAAGAACCTAGGCCTGGGTGATAAATCGATTTAATTAATTAATTTGAATGTTTTTTGTTGTGGGCAATTTAAAAAAAAGTAAATTGAATTTTTATGTAATAGCGCCTTTTTGGCCCCCCTGAGCTTCCGTAGCGTTAGTTTCACACAACCGCAACAACAACGTCACAGCACGCACACGAAACAGCAACAGCAAGCGACTCCATGGCCACCAGTGAGAGTGGGAAGTTTGTTCCTAAGAAAGGAATGAAATAATCTGGTTTGGGTTTCCTGCGACGGTCGTGCAGCGTGGCACTTTGATTCCAGAGGGTGTTCATTTGTCCATTATTCATCTCAGAAATGAGGGTCATATTTGTCTTGCTTGTGATTAAATAAAAACAGAATTGGCTTTAAGGTGCCTTCCAATTGTACTTATTGCTATTTTTAATAATTGAGAGGGAGAGAGAATTGAGAAAAATCGTAAATCGAATTAAAAATAATTAAATCGGAGATTTTATTTTCAGGCTGTATCGCCCCGCTTTATAAGAACCGGTGACAAAGGGCGGCCTTGGCGGAGTCCAACTCTCACTGGAAATGAGCCCAACTTACTGCCGACAGCGCAAACCGCGCTCTGACACGATCATACGGGACACGTCCTGTTTTCTTGTCTTGCTGTTGCAGCTTTTTATTTGATGTCTTTAGCTGTATCGAGGTTTTTGAGGTTTAAATAGAAAACGCCTCTTCCTGCAACATCATCACATCTTCACTTACTAACAACGGGTAGAGAAGGAGACGACGTCGGTGTTCATGTCTACCTATGGAAGCAACGTTTGTTGCTATATTTGCTGTTTAGCACCCATTTAGGCACGCAATTACTGTAGACAACGTTATTCCATTTCCTATTCATCTTTCTGTCACCGTGATGGAAGTTCCTCCAGCGATGAGTGACATTCAGTCAGTGTCATCTAAATGAAGAACAGGACAAAGGCTAATAGCTTTATTTCTGTTTGAATTACATCAAAAGCGTATAATTTTCTTAGCGTTCACCTGCCTCTCTTTTCTAGGAAAAGTAATTATCTTGAGCGTGTGTGACCTTTTCCGAAAATAGAAACTGGAGAGAGAATAATGTTAAACTTACAGAGACGATAACACATCAGGTTGAAACGTTAGATTTGTTTGTCTGCACCTATTAAAGGTGTTTATACTCATTCTAGTGCTCCAGCTCTTCTTTTCCTCATTCTGGATGTCCTCCAGCCGTAGAGCACCAACCGGAGTCGATGATGCGTGGAGAGCTTTATCTTCTACGTTAATATAATGTACCTTTATAAAAAAATGTTTTGGAAAATGAGCTTTAAAATTTGAATTCTAAAGCAGGTGGTTAAAGAGGAATTTTCATTCATTTCAAGCAAATAATCAGATCAGAATGTGCTTGTTGTTGTAGGCTATACTGTTGTTGTGAAGGACACTATAGATAGATAGATAGATAGATAGATAGATAGATAGATAGATAGATAGATAGATAGATAGATAGATAGATAGATAGATAGATAGATAGATAGATAGATAGATAGATAGATAGATAGATAGATAGATAGATGGATAGATGGATGGATAGATAGATAGATAGATAGATAGATAGATAGATAGATAGATAGATAGATAGATAGATAGATAGATAGATAGATAGATAGATAGATAGATAGATGATAGATAGATGATAGATAGATGATAGATAGATGATAGATAGATGATAGATAGATAGATAGATAGATAGATAGATAGATAGATAGATAGATAGATAGATAAATAGATAGATAGATAGATAGATAGACTTTATTGTCCACCTTGAATTGAGGCAGAAATTCGTCTTTGACATGGCTCACCTTACAATACAATACAGTCCATATCACATTCACACAAATACATAAAAAGACAATTAAAAGGTATTAAAATGTTATCATCGTAAAAAATAAACTTTAAGAATTCAAAATTGTAATTGCGGTGGGAACAAATGATTTCTTATAGGCACCTTTCTTGGCCGATGGAACCCTGAACCTCCTTCCTGACGGAAGTAACTGAAAATGTGGGTTCATGGGTGGGTTGAGTCTGTACTGATCAGGGTAGCCTTCCTGTGCGCTGCTCGCTCGTGAAGAACAGAAAGTGGGATCTGAGATGACCCTGTAATTTTGCTGCCTAATTTAACAACGCGAGAGAGTTGTTTTGTCTTTAACTGTGAGAAAATTATACCGAGCTGTAATACTGAAAATTAGAATGGATTCAATCAGTGATTTATATACAATTGTTAGGATGTCCTTGTTCACATTGAGTGCTCTTAGCTTCCTTAGCAGATGGAGTCTTTGCAGCGCTTTCTTGTAGACACCATTGCTGTGATTTTTAATTTTACCCTGTCTATTTATACAGATTCATTATAACACGCTCAAAGCTACAACCAAGCAAGCGTAATAAATAACACAGATCACTTATCAGCGGAAATGAAACCACAACAAAAGAGATCAGAAGAGTTTCCTAAATTAAATCAGTTATTGTGTAATCTAGCATGTTCAAAGCTGCATCCATACATTAAATCTTGTTGGTGTTTTTGCATTCGACACGACTGGTTTCATGCACATAGATGCAACCTACATGTTCAACAATCCTGGTGGAGATTTTGTCGTCTGTTAGAAGCTGTTTCAATACATCCACTCAAACCTGTCTGGAGAGGCATTTAGACCATAGATTATGCAACTTTCCCTCCTCACGAAGGTGATTTTCCAGCTTTTTGACACCGAGATCGTTGACAGTACTTGTTCCACATGCCTGGCGGTGAGTGTCAACTCCAGGTGAAGTTGTCTTTTCCTGCAGAGTGCATTCGCTGACTGCCGTGTCTTAGATGTAGCTGTGGATTAGCTGGAGAGAGCGGCTTGCTGCTGAAGAAACAGGGTGCTTCTGCAGGAAGCGTTGGCTGATTAGTTTATTTATTTCATTGCATATTACAGAATCTCACATGTTAATCCAGAAGATGGCTAATGCTACATTTTATTTTATTTCCATTACAAGGATGAAAAAAACCAGATGATGACAACGAACGTCTGGGTCAAGCAAGTAAGAAACTACAGGAGACCAAACCAATGCAGTGAAAAAAAAGGCTGCAGTATGTAAATATGACTGTTGTTTTCCTGCAGGAATGGAATGATTACAAACTCCGCTGGAACCCAGAGGAGTATGAAAATGTCACCTCCATCCGTATCCCCTCTGAGATCATCTGGAGGCCGGATATTGTCCTCTACAACAAGTGAGTTTCTGCATCAACACATTGTAAACCAAATTGGCTCTTTTCCATCACACAGTTGCACTTAATTGCCGCTATTTTCAAGTCACAACCGTGTGTCAAGTATGTCTACGCCTTCATTCCAGCAGATGGTGGCACTGCTGGGGAAAATATGAGGAATCCGTTTTGCCAAACGTCACATCTTGTGCCAATTTCAATGAGTAATTTAGCTAGAGTAAATGTGAACAAAGTCCGCCTTAATGGCCATGCATGCAAAGAAATTTAAGGATCAAACAAAGTAATACTTTCTGCAGTAGAATAGAAAGAGGAAGGGTGATTGGGCTTGCTTCAACAAGGCACCGGTGAAATGCCTTCATTTCGTTCTAATTTAAAGACATCCACCTGGAAACGCTGTGTTGTACGACACAACTGCCATGCACAGGCTGGTGCCTATCTCCAGCAGTCAATGGGCAATCAGGCGGGGTACACCCTGGACAGAGTGCCAGTCCATCGCAGGGCAACACAGAGACATTCGCACCTAAGGAAAGTTTAGGCAGACCAATTAACCCATCAGTAAGGTTTCTGGACTGTGGGAGGGAGCCGGAGAACCCAGAGAGAACCCACGCATGCACAGGGAGAACACGCAAACTCCATGCAGAAAGATCCCAGGCTAGGAAGCGAACCCAGGACCTTCTTACTGCAAGGCAACAGCTCTAACCACTGCTCCACTGCACAGCCCCTGCTCTTTAAAGTATTTTTGATAACCATACAAAAAAGAATAATTTACAAAACGCGTAATATATATTTAATTATGATTTAAACAATATAATTATTATTTAAACTGAATATTTTCAGTTACTAATTTTTGCAAGTAATCTTTCTGAAATACAGCACAGTACGACAAACAGCCAAGAAATGATACTGACCTTGACGATCGCACTCAGGGAAAGAAAATCACAGGTGAAAACAAAAAAGAAAGTATGTGGAACATGAGTAAGTCTTAACTGGAAGTTTTATTTAATAACAGCTTTGATTTTTCTAAGTTAATGTCCAGAGATCTGGAGGACATCTTCAGCAAACCAAAGTATTGGAATGCAACCTCACATCACAAAGTTTAATGAAGGGTAAAACTGTAAGTAACATTTCACCAATGTTCCTTTCTTCACCTGCAGTGCGGATGGCGACTTTGCAGTAACTCACCTCACGAAGGCTCATCTGTTTTATGATGGACACATAAAGTGGACCCCACCGGCCATTTATAAGTCTTCGTGCAGCATAGATGTCACGTTTTTCCCTTTTGACCAGCAGAGCTGCAAGATGAAGTTTGGCTCGTGGACCTACGACCGTGCCAAGATAGATCTGATCAGTATGGCCAGTAATGTGGACCAGATGGATTACTGGGAGAGCGGGGAGTGGGTCATTGTTAACGCAGTGGGCAAGTACAACACTAAAAAGTACGAGTGTTGCACAGAGATATATGCAGACATCACTTACTACTTCATCATCCGGAGGCTTCCTTTGTTCTACACTATCAACCTCATCATCCCCTGCCTGCTTATCTCCTGTCTAACGGTTCTGGTGTTTTATTTACCGTCGCAGTGCGGAGAGAAGATCACTCTGTGTATTTCGGTCTTACTGTCCCTGACAGTGTTCCTCCTGCTGATAACAGAGATTATACCATCTACTTCACTGGTGATTCCGCTGATTGGTGAATACCTGCTCTTCACAATGGTGTTTGTCACGCTTTCCATCATAATTACAGTCTTTGTGTTGAATGTACACCACAGATCGCCAAAAACACACAGCATGCCTCACTGGGTGCGTCGAGTGTTCCTTGACTTGGTGCCTCGAGTCCTGATAATGAAACGTCCACCGGGCACTGCAAAGCAGCACTGCAAGAAGCTGATTGAGATGATGCACCGCCCAACCATTTCTACAACAAGCAACTCACAGGCGTTTTGGATAGGATTAGACACAGGGCTTCAACAGATGGCGCAGACAGACAACACACTAGCAAAAACTCCATCGGATAGTCCGGGAATCCTTGTCTGCTCAGCCTCACCACCATCTTCTCCTCATGGGAACTGCAGCGAGGATCATCCACTGGATGTCAACATTTTTTGGAAAGCCACATCTGGCCAGTATTCAGTTCTCTCAGAGAAACACCCCCTATGTAGACACAACTCTGCTAGCATGTCTGCTTCACAATTGTCCTTACCCCCAACTTTGCAACTGGGCCCATTCCCCAACCCATCCAGAGAAAAACCAAGCACTTTGGTCTTAAATGGTCGTTCACTTAGTGCAGAGCAAATGTGCAACCAACAGGAAGCTCTTCCTCAGAGAACTGAGCCTAGATGTCGCTCCCACAGTTTTCAGTACTGCTGTCTGCATGATGATGGAGTCAAGGGGACTTCCAAGAAGGTGAGGTCCAGGGAGAACTTACAGGAAACCCCACCAGCCGTGTCTACCAAAGATGCAAGCACCCAGCTAGATCGTCAGACCCCAACGATTTCACCGGCTATGCAACGAGCCATAGAAGGAGTTCAGTACATCGCTGATCATCTCAGGGCGGAGGATGCAGACTTTTCAGTAAGTTCAGAGAAATTTCTTTTGCTGTGAAAAAATGTCTTAAATGGGCCAAAATAAGTTGGCTAAAGTCAAATACCCAAAAAGCCCCATTTGAACTGAAATTATTTCACAATAAATAATGAGTTATGGAAACTTGGAAACCAAAGATTGCATAAATGCGGAGGCAGTGGTGCTACAAGGTTCTTATGGCGCCCCCAGCAGAAATACCTGCTGCCCAAAGCAGACTAGAGCCCCAGTCAGACAGGCCATGACAAACGGAAATGTCTGTCCTCAAGACCTTTGTGTCTGAACACAAACATCCGGATAACCTTTTCCGTAATTAAACCGGACGAAGCCCCTAGTAACAGGACCGGACTTGTCACGGACAGGGTAGCTGCTTCAGACTGGTGAGGTCGAGTTCCGGGCAGGGAGGAGAGGGAGGAGGAGGGGACCGGGGGACGCTGTGCGCACCTAGATAGCTCGCTCCTGTAGAATGCGGCGAACCATGGCAGCTTGCCTCCTACAGTACCGTCTCATAGACGCGCGACGGAGCGCTTAATACCGCTTCATACCGCTTCCGTGATTCCTTTTAACCATTGAGCTTCATCATCCAGGTCTCTTATGCGTCTTCATGTGCGCAGAATTATGCTTCACATAAGTCCAATCAGTGAGAGGAATTCTATCTCTTCATTGGCCATGTTTGACCGAATAGCTTTGTTTGGGTAAATGACGCATGTACGCCCGCCGCAATATCCAGGTACAGCCTTCCCACCCCCTCCCCCTCAGACATCTGGAACTTTTCCCTGCTGTGTGAAGGCAGCCAAAAGGACAAGTTCAGGTACAAAAGTGTTGGGTCTGAAAACAGTTCTGGTTAAAAACCGGACTGAATTGTCCACACATATTCCAGAATGTCATTCTGAAGGGGGCTTAGGAAACGCATTGTTTCTCCATCGGAATACTATGGGGGTTTCCAAGGGTGCCTCCCTAACGTTTCCAAAAGGGCAGGATGGCACACCAAACCAAAAGAATGGCAGGTGTGCAGTTTTCATCAGATGGCAGTCGTTAAAAAAAATGCTACATAGACATTGGAGAATCACCTCTATGACATGATTCATTAACAGAGCGTGGAGGGGTGGGGGGGTAAGATGAGGAAGTGTGCAGCTGGTCTCTGGTTGAGCAATTGAGAGGGGGGAGGAGGGCCCTGTCTGGGAGTGTGAGACGGCCAGCGGTGTCATCAGTTGGTGCATTCTGAAAGAATGACCATTTTCAAAACAAAACAATTGACTTTCCCACTACTGTGGGATTCTCACGGCTGTTGCAAGCTACGGTTCAGCAGAAGATTGTAGCTGACCAGTCAAGATTTGTTTATTTGTTTATTTAAGGAATCCCCATTAGTCTTCACAGTAGTGAAAACTGTTCTTCCTGGGGTCGTACGCAGTAAGTTGAGAAGTAGATAAATACATTTCACTGCAACATTGAGTTGTTGGTAATAGGAAAAGTAGCTTGGCATTTTTTTAGGTCTGACTATTTGCTTCTAATTCACCGTTAGCATTGTTAGCTTAACGTTAGCTACAACAAAAAGATGTTGTGGCTACTTAGGGGTACAAGAAATAACTTCTGGGTCGCTCCTGTTACTGGCTTAGGATCTTTACAAAGCACTGCTGCATTTTGTTGACTGGTATTGACTCGAAGCAGACTTGGCAACCTTGTGATTTCATTGATTGTAAGCAAATCTATGTCCCTCTTTAGCTTCTTATAAAGAAGAAAAACTGTCAAACGCTCATTTAGCTGATGAGGAAATCTGCTTCAATGTGACCTTTCTTCCAACATGGCTGAGACATTAGACCAGGAGGAACCAATCCTGGCCCAGAATGTTGTAGTTGTTTCCCTGTCCCAAATAAAAAAGTATAAAAAATAAGTTAATCAGCTCTCATAGAGTGGGAACAAAAAAAAGGACAAAAATCTCTCTGCAGTCTGAGGGATCCTTAAAGTTTCTGTCATGGAGAAATAGAATGAGAAGTTAACTCCCTTACCTTGTAATTTCTAAGATATATTCAAGATGTAGCCGGGGGGGGGGGGGGGGGGGGGCAAACAAAACAGGCGATTCCCTAATCTCTCGCCCTTATATCAGCATATGAATGTAGTAAAAATTGTTTTGGTTTTGGTGCCACCTCACCCTTTTGAAAACGTCATGGCGACACCCCTGGAAACCACATCCACTGTAACATTCACTTCAGAGTGATTTGAAAGTTGTGTTGGAGTTTAGGGAAGTTAAATTTCTTACTTTTACATCCCGAGTGCACTTTTGCCCTTCTCTGCTGAGGAACTTCTCCGGAGTATTTCCAGTAATGAGGACGTGTTTGACACTGACAGTTTCCTCACCTGTGGACTGACTTTTGTAGACACTGATTGCAGTCAACTCCTTTTATTTGCCTTGCCTAAACGCTGTCATTTTTCCAAGCATTTCCACGTAGATCACTTTGCCATTTCAAATTTATTGACAACGTTCCAGCACAATTCATAGGCTTGAGTCATAAAACGAGCTTTTGAGTGTGCATTAAGAGGAAGGTGGGTGGCAAAGAAAAAACAACAGATTTTCTTTCCCAAGGAAGACGCGGTGATTCGTGTTTTCTCACATCTTTTTCAACGTTGAGTCACTTCTCCATTAGGCCACTTGTTTTTAACTGATATTCCAGGTATTAAATCCTCAGTTTTGTCGAGTTTTACTAACCGATCATGAGCAGACTCTGTGAGCATCCTTTAGCCTGAAATACAATCTCAAACTGCTCCAAACAAATCCTGCATCTGAGAAAGGCTGACATGACTGGATTCTCAGATTCATCAACATTTTTTGCCTGAGCTAACATAATTCATGAGTGAAAATACTCTTACAACAAATATGCATCCATGTCAAGTTTTAGGAAACAAATCTATATTTAGATGTATGTGTTTTTTTGTTCAAATAATGCCCTAAATGTTAATGTATTTGCAGCCCTGATGCTTAGTAGAACGTCTTCTTCTGCTAACCTGCAGTCAGCTGCACTGTAACCAAAGTTGTCCTCCTACATCCCTCTATTTAGTACCCTGATCTAACCCCCAATACAGCTACAGATCTAAAACTTCTATTAGTCTTATTCTAATGTTAAGACGTTTCCTGCTAGAAAAGGCGTAAGGACATGGGTTGCCATGACAACCCTAAACGTAGGTACATTTTTTCTCAAATTACAAACATAACTTAAACTACTGTAGATAATCTCTGTGCAGCTTGTCTTAGCGGTTGGCAAGCAACGTGCAGAAGTGTTTATGGGATTAGGTGTCCCTGCGCCTTTCAGCAGAAGCTTAAAGCTGCGCTTTGCCATTAAGTAGTCCCAAGTCAAAAATGTCGCCTGTGTTTCCTTCGTGTTACTTTTTATTTTCACATGCTGTCTGATTTTAAGGACTTTTTTTCTCACAGTGCTGGTCCCATCCACTTACTGTGTTTTATGCTAAGCTAAAGCTAAAGGTGTTCTGACTATCCGCGCAACTCATTGATGTGTGCTATATTTTGGGGAAGTGCACATGTGCAGACCAACTACTACGTCACAAGCTGTTTACCTGAAGAGTGCACTACGTAGAAGTTGTTATACTGCTGCTTGTTGTATGTTTACCTGACCGTTAGCTTGTAAATGGCTTGGAAAATACCGTTATTATACTGTAAACAAGGGATTTCTCCCATTATTTACCGTCATTCACGGAATCATGACAAACACAGTCCTTTTCATAAATAAATCACAACAAACACTGTTTAATTTAGCTAGTAATTACACTACAGTTCTGTATTTTTCAGTAATATCACCTATTTAAATTAAACTGTTTAGTACCCGTGTTACTGTATTGTAAACAAGAGCGAAACTGTCATAACACACTGCTGTAGGAATATTTGACAAGGAAGCACGGATAGTCAGAACACCGGGTCAAGAGAACGACTCGTCTAAATCAGAAATAGCTATGTCAACAGACAAAATTCCACTTTTGGGTAGAATGTCCCTTTAAGAAATCTAACTAAGCAACATCTGCGTATCCCATTTACAGATTTTTAAACTCAAAACAAGAAAATTTGAACTTATTTAAGAATATTTACTTAATTTCAAGTAGTGATGTTTTTTGTAGATGAGAAAAATTGTTTCTCTTTAGACTAAAAATAATATGAAATGTCTAAAAATTTGTTATTTTTTTTTACTTTCTTGAAAATCGTTTTTTTTTTTTTTTTTTGCAGTGTAAAGAAACGAAATGCCTCAACCGTACGTACCACGTTGCACCTAAAAGCTGCAGCCGTTCCTCCACACAACAGAACCTATTTAAAGGGGCATTATGGAAGTTTGACAGCCAAAACATGAATAGAAATAATAAATGTCTTCTTCATACGTTCTCCTGCAATGCCCTGGTCCTGTAGAATGAGCCCTGGCATTTTTACTGTGATTGCCTGTTTTTCTGTAAAATCACAGAAAAAGAGAGATGCTCGGGTCGAGCAGGCTGCTTCATGCGCGTTCACGCTCAGGCATCGCCCGTAGCATTTGCTATCCGTAGCTTTAACAGCAGAGAGAGAGGCAGTGCCACTTTGTCGCTGTTCCTAACGCCTAGTGACAAAGCTAGCTACATTTCTGAGGACCCTTAGCTACTTTCTGTAGAACTTTCTTCTAGATATTTCCTGCAAATTAGCAACAAAATAGCCATTTTCACTCCGAACCGTTCTTTGTTTCAGCTGTCATCAAGGATATAAATGTTACAGATACAAAGGACATCACTGGCGCTTTAGCTCACCTAGTAAGACGTCAGACTTTCGTGCAGAAGACCTGGGTTTGATTCTGGATGTGAACATAGTTTATTTAGAGTTTCTTTTTTACATTAATGGTATATTTTTTACAGTAAGATGCCCAAATATTTATTTGAGACTCGCTGAACGGCATTGAATTCACAGATAAAAAAGATGTGGGTTCAACTTTCATTTTGGAACAATTTTTCAAGCAAGGGAAGGGAATGATCTGAGCATGCAGGAGGACTGACCCATCATAAACCTTTGTCGGCTGTGCTGAAGAGAAAGGTACAGAACCAAATTATTTAATTAATTAGCTGCGCATTCTCCTGTCCTCTGTCCTCCGGGCCACACACACACACACACACACACACACACACACACGGGACTGTCTCAGCTGTTATTTTCGTTAAGGAGTGTGCACGTACAGCATGCGCGCCTCGTGCACGAGCCTACTACTGAAGCTGCCGTTACGCTTTTGGCCAGAGGGGGCAATCGTGAGCATAAAAATTCAAAAGTCCGTAAAGTCCCTTTAAGTTGACGGAGTTATTTTGTAAAAAGAAACATGGATCGAGTGACTTTTAGGAAAATTCTGCCGCATGGCGGAAAAACATCAGCCATTCTAGAGAAATCACTGAAGTGTGAAAAGTGCCGACTGCTAAGTAGAACGGATTGAAATGTACCTCTGTGCTGTTTGTTCTTTCTGCTAGGTGAAGGAGGACTGGAAATACGTGGCGATGGTCATTGACAGGATTTTCCTCTGGATGTTTGTGCTGGTGTGTATTCTGGGATCTGTAGGACTCTTCCTTCCTCCATGGCTGGCTGGAATGATCTAGAAACTCAGCTTCAAGGAACATGAAAACTGACAGGAAGACTGGCTGTCAGGTTGAAAAAAAAAGTTTATTAATATTCCTTTTTATTTTTTGTTCAGAGGGACTATAAGTCACAATCCCTGCTCTCCTCCTTTGCTATGAAAGGTTTTCCATGAAGGATCAAGATGAAACACCCATCACTGGTCCCCACGGGCAAATCAATTCTTTATAAGGGCAAAAGGCCAACAGTGAAAATATCCCACCACAGCGCCTCTTTTTGACACGGAGCTGTGTTTCTCAAACTGCCACTTTGTGAAAAAAAACGTGGAAAAAAAAGAGTTTGTTCAGGAAGTAAAACCAGACAGGGATGCTAGTAATCAGATTACCTAGGGTTGGACTTAGTTTTGACATTCCAGCAATGCTGAAGTATTTTGACAACAGCACGGCTAACAAAGAGCTGCTTTCCCAAGAAAACCATTTGTCTGTGAGAACCTGTCAGCTTGTTTTAGTATGAGGGAATTGTGTTTGTGGAAAAGACAGAAGCACAAAAGAAAGTTTGTAATTTTCCATTTAAACATCCCAACACAATAAATAAAAGGTTGTGTGACTCTTTTTCATTTTAGGTGCAAAATCAGTTTCAAGAAGTCACTCATCCACCCACCCATCCCATCCACCCATCCATCCATCCATCCATCCACCCACCCATCCATCCATCAGAGAGCGGCAGGATTTGGAGTCTCATTTATGTTTATGTTTAATTATTTAGCAGACGCTTTTATCCAAAGCGACTTACAATTTATAACCTATAGGGCATGTTGTGGTCTGTGGGGGGAACCGGAGTACCCGGAGGAAACCCACGCATGCATGGGGAGAACATGCAACTCCACGCAGAAAGGCCGCATCCGGGTTTCGAACCTGCAACCTTCGTGCTGCGAGGCAACAGTGCTAACACTGTGCCACCATGCAGCCCATTATTTAGTAATATTTGGATCTCACCTCTGATTGGACTACAGAAACACGACTCTACCTCTGACTGTGCTCTGCAACGTTGATGTTTCATCTCCACAAATAACACAAGCCTGCTGGAGTTCCATTGTGTGGTGGAGTTGCTAATGCTAACGGTTAAATGGTAAATTGCCTGTATTTGTATAGCGCTTTCTTAGGGTTCTACAACCCCCCAAGGCGCATCACAACACAATCAGTGACTCACCCATTCACACGCTGGTGGAGATGAGCTACGATGTAGCTACAGCTGCCCTGGGGCACACTGACAGAGGTGAGGCTGCCGAGCGCTGGCCAGCAGGCAAGGAGGGTTACGTGTCTTGCCCATGGACACAACATCAGAATTCTCTGGTCAGAGCCAGGATCGAACCTGCAACCTTCTGATTACTGGACAGCCTGCTCTACCTCCTGAGCTACTGCTGTCCCAGTTAGTTTCTAGTGGAGATGTTCTCTGTTTCCTGGACACTAAACCAACAACAGCCTTCCCCATCGCGAGTCAAGATGGGTGAGTCCATCAATGACGTCTATTTTCAATCAGAAGCTAATGCAGGAGATGTGTAGGAGACTATTTTCATGTTCAGCCTGCATGAAAAACTCAGAGTGACCGATCATAATCAGAAATAATAAATGCCCTTTTCCCACAAGACAAGAATTGAATCATGTAAACTTTATTAAGCTACAGGCTCAAAGCGACGACAGAACATGGAAGGTGTTAAAAGGCAGGGTGATGGCTGAAAAACATCTAGTTTCACATGTCAGTGGTTTACATAGCTGTAAGACAGTTACCATGGAATCAGACGTGTGCCAGTTATAAAAGAAACACCACTGAATTTTAAAACCACCTAATAAATTCAAGCTCCAGGTATCATTTCTTATTTGAAATTCTATCCATGGTGACCATAAACTTCCTGAACTGAATTCTGGCTGAAATTAAACACAGCAAGGGTAAAAAATGCTTGTGTGTGCTGTTGTTATATAGGTGTTTGGCAGCTTTATGGGGGAAATCTCTGCAGAAAACTTGCTGAAGTCTTGCTTTGAGATAACGTGGGAGGTGAGGTGTTGCAGGAAGACAGGCTATATGTGAGTGAGCGAAGAGGCAGCTGCCCATGCAGGAAAAAGAGCAATGCTCAGTCTTCTAATAAGATGTGGTGTTTCGTGGGTTTTTCCGTGTTTTGAACTACAGCAACAGAATGTCAAACCACAGGGCTTGTAAAGCTTTCAAAAGTATTTACTTATGTGCTACAAATGTGTCGATATTGAAATTAAAAGTTGAAAAGATCTAGGGTGTGTTCCAACTATTGAACAAGGAGTTTTCTTTTTAACATTCTTGGCACTGAGTTGGACTCGTTCCAAGTGTTGGTTTGGACTCGTCGAAGTTGACTCTGTTGTCTGAACCGATCTGACGGGTTTATGGATTCGATCCCAAGGTGTTCCAAAGATGTCTGGTTTTGGGAAACCTTATTTTGCAGATGATGTGGTTCTGTTGATGCAAGACGGGCCTGACCTAAAACGTAAAGCACTTGATTTGTAGTTCAGGCTATGTACCAACCCCCAAGAGCATTTCATTGGCAGAGGTAAGTGCCCGCCCCATAACCAGCAGGTTGCAGGTTCAAGCCTCTACTGTTGCGTCCTTGGGCAAGATACTTAACATGCCTTGGCTGCTGGTGGTGGCCAGAGGTACCGGTGGCGCTAGTGCTCAGCAGCCTCACCTCTGTCAGCATGCCCCAGGGCAGCTGTGGCTACAGTGTAGTTCATCAATTGACCGACCTGCAGAGCAAAATCCTTTTGGTGTTAGAGTTGGTCAAGATTTCAATCAGATTTCCTGTGTTAGCTTCTGACAGAAAATAGACAGGGAAACAAAAAAAACACTCTAATCTACATCACATTGTAAATTTACAACCAAGGACTCACCCATCTTGGCTCATGACGGGGAAGGCTGTTGTTGGTCCAGTGTCAACGAGACAGTGGAGAATATCTCAGTTAGTAGAAGCTAACTTTTAGCATTAGCAATTCCTTAACATTTCAGTATTCTGTCAGGCTTGTGTTATTTGTGGAGATAAAACATCAGCGCTGCAAAGTAAGTCAATGGTAGAGTCGCGTTGCTGTTAGCCAACCAGAGGCGAGATGTCCAATATCAGGAAATAAGACTCCAAATCCCGTCGGTCCCTGCTCCCTTGTGCTCTGGCTAGCAGGAGTACCAGGGCTTTTTCCTCCAGAAAGGTCATTTATACTAGAGACCACAGCAAATGTATTAAAATAAACAAGTGAAAAAACTGAACAGAGTACAGCATGAGTACAGAAGCAGCCAAAGATCAAAGAAAATCTTTGTCAGACCTTCACCCTGCAGAAGATTACTCCAAGGTCATTTCAAAGATTACCAGAAAATATGGCTCCTTGAAAGCAAGATGTAAACTATAGTATATGTAGGCTAGTCAGACTAAAGTGAGGTTTCACTTGGAGCTCAGACACCTTAACGCAGCATCCTGTCATAAATGTGGCTCAGGGGGCTGGGGAGAAAGGAGCGCTGCAGCTAATTATCACGGGTAAAACCATGAAGCTGGAAAGTTTGGACAGAACTGTTATATTTTTATAACCGTGTCTCTTAACGCGACTGCAGCGATTTGACCTTGTGTCTTGTTTAAAGTGATGTGTGTGAGTTAGTGGGTCAGGTTGTTCCCCTAAGAGTTTCACAGGACAACACCTGGGTGTAATTTAGACACGACAGCGACACACTTTCCAGTCTGTTTAATGCAACACAGATGAGCTTTAATCAGCACGTCTTCTCTTTCATCCTCATGCACCTCGGACCCGCTGTTCCGCCTGAGTAAAACCTCAGATTAGAACGAAAGGCATCTAACGTTACATGTGAATATCCACGGCAACGACCTCAATTTTGACCTTAGCCACAAACTATTGTGTTTCCGCCGGCTCAGCATAGAAGCAGCCATCGATCACGGCACAGATTTCCTGAGAGGACAAAAAGGAAAAATTGATCAACATGAAAACAAGGTGAAATTACTGCTGAACGGTTTATTCATTCAATTCTGATTTGAATCATTAAAATATAGTTGTAAATGGATTCACTGTAACAGCAGATAAGGTAAAGTTGGCCTTTAGTCTTATCTATCATATTAATTTCCATGTTCCCCCATTTTTAATGCAAACACAAAGTTATTAATTTAGAAATAAATGAGAATTTCTTTAGATAACTACAAACTCATTTCCATTAAATGATAAGAACAGCCTTTTGTGAAGGCGTCTCATATACATAATTTCAATAGTAAAGGTAAATTACGAATGACACCAGATGGCGAAGCTCCATAATGTGTTGGTGTCCCTCTAGATAGAAAAAGAAAATGTCACACAAGGTCACAGAGTTATTAATTACAGCTAAATGTCATGTTAATACATTTACCAGCACAAGAATTCACTTTAGTTTCCATCAGGGGCGGATTTAGGACTGAAGAAGATCCGGGGCTTAACACACACGCGCGCGCACACACACGCGCGCGCACGCGCACACACACGCATGCGCGCACACACGTGACACGCACTAGTCAACATCATATATATTTGTCTTGTACCACATAATGTTTAATCTGAAGCTACATATTCAGCATATTCAGGGCAGAGTATTGTTCCTGTTAGTGTTTAGTGTGAGATGATAGTGAATATTCCCTTTCTTTCTCCAACAACTTTACCTGATAGTAAGCTAACTTTAGGCAAACCAGCAGCACAACAAATATTTTCAAATAAGACTCACAAACCTGAGTCAACACCAGTCTCATCAGAGCTGGGGTTCTGTCGTTGTACTTTTGGTCTAAAAAAACGTCCTTATATCCATCTTCACTCATGCGTTTCAGACAGAGACTGCAGAAGCCAGCTGCTGAAGGGCTTCTCTTCAGTCTCAGGTAAACTGTGTACTGATTAAGTAGCCTAGTGGTAGAGTGTCTTCCCTGAGATCGGGAGATCAGGGGTTCGACTCCTGGTTGGGTCATACCAAAGATTTTGAGAAAAATGGGACCCAATGCCTCCCTGCTTGACACTCAGCATTGGATTGGGGTTGGATTGGGGGATTAAACCACCAAATAGTTCCCGAGCGCGGCGTGTCTGCAACTCAGGGGATGGGTCAAAATCGGAGAATAAATTTCACCACACACCTGTGTGTGTGACGACTAAATGGGACTTTACAAACTACTGCCAGCTGCGCCCTCTCTGTGTGACTTTGGTACTGCATGTTACTTCCGCGATTTAGATCCGGGGCTTATCATGAAAGATCCGGGGCTTCAGCCCAAGTAGCCGGGCCTAACGCCGCCCCTGGTTTCCATTATTCCCTATAAAAACGAATAAGTTGGGAATTATGTTAATTAATTTCAACACGGAGTGATGCTTTAATTTAATAACTGGATTTACTAAGCGATTAGATGCTTTGAACACAACGACCCTTGTGGAAAACTACTTTTTTAGTAAAATTAAAATCTTTGTGGAGCAACACTCGTGTATAAGCACATTTCCCTGGAGGTATTTGCACACAAACTGTTTATTTTTAGCTAAATACCAGAACTTGTTCAAGGCAAACCACAATAAATATGGTGTCTGTGATGCATCTTCTTACCAAGGTTTTCTCACATTGCAGACTTATTCTGCAGACCTGAAACGCAGGTGCATCCACCTATTTCTGCCTATTTTTGGGAATGTTCTAAAGATAGCTTGCACAGGTGCTACCCTCTTTAAAACACCTGAGCTTGTCCCGCTCATTTGAAGTCAAACCCCTGATGTGGGTCTGAACTTCTGAGTGTTTTGGACACAAACAGCTGGGTCACCGATTTCAAAGGTAAAACACTGTAAATGCAGCTGGCTGCAGATCTTTTATCACCTTCATTTTGGAAATAATGAAGGTTTAGAACAAAAATGTTCATAACTCAGCTTTTAGGCCCTTGATCTTTTTATATTTGAACTCTCAGAAAAGGCTTTACATATTTATTAATTTATAATTCATCATATTATATTTAGCCATGTAAGAAACTGTTGATATAGTGAAATATTGCAACATTTTGTGTTATGATACTGAATTTTTGAAAGCAGTTAAATGATTTTTATTGTTGAGAAATTTACTTGCAAACATTTGCTGAATTTCTTTTGTGTGGTGCGATTTGAGCTCCAACAGCTTGGAGGCAGAATTTTTAATAGCTTTTATTTAGACGAATCGATGAGATCTTGCGATAACGCTGGATGTGTCTTGGAAACGTCTAGCCTTAGTTTTCCAGTTAAATTCAGTGTAAAAAATGGCTAAAATCACCTGAATTTTAGCATCATAATATGTCTTATTGATATAAATGTTGTATGGCCAGATTCTTGTCTACACACACTACTGTTTATCGTTAATATAACAGTAGCCTGAATATCTTTGGCTAAACTATTGGGGAAAAAACTTCAGCGATTAATCCACCTTGTCTTTGATGAATGAAAAAATGACGCATTCTAGCTAAGAAAGACACATCTCCAGTGGATTAAACAGATCATTTTGGCTTAGAACGTTCTCAGGAGGATATAATAATGACGAAATGAAAGAAGCACACAACTTCAGAAGACTTGCTTCCATCGACTCTCCGGCCAAACAGTGCGATCAAATGAGTGATTGATCAGGGAAGTGACAAGGGACTCAATGATCCCTTGAACAGATCTTCAGATGATGCTGAGGATAGAGGATGACCATTTCCGCTACTCTTTATCAATCAGAGCTCAATATAGAGGACGATGAAGCTGCACAGAGGAAAAAGAGTCAGATGTTTTCAAAGCAGAGCATAAAAAATAAATTCTCTGAACAATGACTGAAGGCTCTTCAATTTGCCTGAGACACGTCTAACAGTGTTTATAAATTGGCTGCATGGTAGTGAGAGTATGGACGTCTCTCTGTGACTGGGTCAATAAGATGGGTCAGAGCGGAGGAAATTATGCTGAAAGAACATCTGTTCTGCAGTCAAGAAACCTGACAGGCTTGATGGTTCATTTTCCAGCAGGACATATAAATAAAACAAATCAAACAACCAACGGTGAAATAGCTTCACATCAAGTCTGGTTTTCTTTCTGTTGCTTCAAAAACACCTTCAAGACATGCGAACAACGGTGCGCACAGAAAACTTTCATTAGGGTGACGTGTAGACTGTATATATGACGAACAGAGCCTCCGTGTCACCCACCCCAGTGGGTGGTTCCCACCACCCCCATCTTGGCCACATCACGCATCTTGTGACTCCCAGAAAATAAACAAATAGAGCTGAGTATGGGGCTGTGAGTATGGGGGCAGAAGATAGACACCCATTAAACTCGAAAGCTTGGTTTATGCTTGACGCATTTACTTTCCGCTTGGTGATGCGGCTCGCGGATGGAACGTGCTTCACAACTTGCAGCGTTTATGGTTCATGCGGCTTGTCTCTGCGGTGAGCCAATATTCTCCCAAACTGTAGGGGGCAGCATGGAGCTCTACGGCATGCATCCAACACTACACCATAGTAGAAGTAAAAATTACTGTTGTTTACAACATGGCATTCCAGCATTTTTTTTAACAGCGTCCTCGTCTTTTCCGACAGTGCGAGCTATTTCTCTCCAAGAATTATTAACAACATGTTGATCACGGTGATCTCTGAGAGCTGAATCATACAAATGTCTGTATTTACGAACCTCTGCCATACTGGTTCTTGCCAGTCCGCCATGTTTTTCCGCGTCCGACCGTCTGCGTGGTTAGAAAATTTCCTAGGTGCGCGGTGCGGTAAGTTTGGGCCATGCGGAGGCGCGGTGGAGGGGCGTGGTTGTTAAAATGACGCAATTTTGCCGCGCGGAGCCGTGCAAACCTCGCGGACGCGTCAAGCATAAATCAAGCTTAAGTCGATGTAGCTACAAGCTAGCTGAGCTAACCTGGAGCTAACCAAAGCTAATGGAGGTTGGATTGAGCGACTCTGTTACCTTCTGCCTTCTAGGACGTATAACTTTATTGTCACTGAACCAGTGCCTTGGTACAAGACAATTTGGCTTCACAACACAATCCGACCAAGAGATACACACAAACACATAGTCAAAACAGGTTCAGGTAGACTATGAGAGCATCCACTTCAAGAGAGAAATCAGGCCCTCTCGCCCTGCTCTGGCAGGGGGAAGAGTTGGGGTTCAGGAAAAACACCTCAAACGTAAAAGCACATGAATAAATCCACAACATAAATCCACGAGTGGCGGGTGGGAGGGGCAGGGATTCCCCTAGCACCAGGAGGGTTAGCACTTATTTAGCAGATGCACGAATTACGAAAATATTCACCCCCCTCAGAGTTGTCATGATGGTAAACTTGATCTATTAAACCTACAATATTTTTTGAACCATGCTGTAAACATTTATTTCTGCTGTGAAGTTGTCATTTTAACAGGGCATCATCGGGAACTTGCAGGAGCCAGCCATTAGTGGACGAGGGGGGAGCTGCAGCTTTTGTGACTTCCACATTGGCTTCACCTTAGGCAGGTGGCGTTTCCCCCCTTAGGGGGACCGGATGGGGCCAGTGGGGTGGCCATGGTCTACCCCTTAACCACATCAGTAAAATGACATAAAGTGTGTGTGTGTGTGTCTGCTCTGTCTTCTCGATCCCCAGTGAGTCGTGGTGGATGGCCGCTTATACTGAGCCAGGATCCTCTGGAGGTTTCTTCCTGTTAAAAGAGAGTTTTCCTCTCCACTGTTGCTGTGTGCTTGCTTAGTATGAGGATTGCTGTAAAGACTCTGACACTAGTCAGTGTGATGTTCTGTGTCCCTTTGTTTCCCAGCCCCTCCAGTTCCCACTCCAGGTTCTCCTTTTGTGTCTCATGGCACCTTCATGTGTCCTTTGTCTGCATCTCTGTTGTGTGTCTTAAGTTATAGCCACAGCCTCTTGTTCCCCAGTTCATAGTTTGTGTGTCTCAGTATGTGTATGTGTTTGTGTGAGTTCTTCCCTTAGTCTTTAGGTTTAGTTTTGTGTTTTATATAGTTTTAGGTTTATCTGCCCTCCACTGGTTCTCTTCCCCATCCAGATAATTGCTGTCACCTGCCTTTCCTCCAGCCTCACTCCACACACCTGCTTCCTGTTTCCCTAATTGCTCCTCCCTGTCTATATAAGCCCTCCTTGTCTCATTGTTCTTGTCGGTCCATTGTGGTTTGTCAGCGTTATGTGTTCTGTCAGTCAGCTCGTTCCTCTGTTGGTTTTTGACTCCCTGGATTTTTGGATTTTGGCTCCCTCCCATTTGGATTTATTTTTGTTCTTCCTCAAAATAAAGGATTTTTACTTTACATATCCACTCCTGCCTCGTGTCATCCTGGGTTCTGCAATTTGGGTCCTACCCTCCTAAACGTGACAGTCAGTGACTCGATGCAAGTTGCTGGGTTCCTTATACAGGAAGCTTTTTACTGATTGGCTTAATGAAC